GATGTGTCTCCTGAAAAAAATTACAAAGTGAATTTAAAAAAAAGTATTATACAAAGTGAATTAGAAAAAGATAATTAAAAAATCTCTATGTATAATTTATAATTTATAAGTTATAATTTATAATTTTATAATTTATTCTTAGCAGAGAATTACTAGAACTCCCACTTCTTTCCGTAGTGGAACCGTACGACTCTCAGGTTGTCGACCATGATGTATTGGAAAAATAAAAAGTAAAAAAATATTAGAAAAACAAATTTGTTAAAATATTTGATATGAATAAAAAAGAAAAAACTACTTACTCCCTCAACGAAATACTCGTAGTGGATCTCGATTAACTCTCTTAAGTTGCTCATAGTTGTATTTACGCAAAAGTTGTCAACAAAAGTTTTTTCTAAAAAAATCACATTATTATAACTATCACTTTCACTTTCACTTAATCACATAAACATGCAAAAATATTCTACCATCTAAATGGTAGAATATTATTGCACATTTATAAAATAATTGAACTAAAAAAAAGAAAAAAGAAAAAAAACGACACGAACCTCATGCAGATGAGATGTGACAAAGACTGATGCTGAGAAACATCCTTCGCTGCGGCGAAGATGCCCGAGATATTACTTACAGGCAGCTGTTGTATGTTCACATGTTATTTTTTGTTGTTTTTTTTTGTACGTATTAAAAACTAAAGCCAATAGCTCGCAATCGACGAGCTGATATCCATTGAAGATGTTGCTCATGTATAGAGTCTTCGGACGCAATGTTGGAGAATCGCATATACTTGACATCGATCGTATCGATGAGTCGGTCTAATCGTTCGAACGTTACATCGACACATCCGTCAAATTCAAACATACGGCGCAGCGTCGTTTCGGTCATCATCATGCGTCAAATGACTTTGATGCTTTTTCCCCAGGACATTTCCAATGTCTCGCTTTTTCCTTCGATGGCGATGGACTTGGCGACAAGTACTTTTTTTGCTCGATCGATTTTCGGGATACATATTCTTTTACTCGGTCCATGTCTTAACGCTCGTAACTGAAGCTTATGATTGAATGAAAAAAGCCATAAGCTGGGAACACAGACTTTTGCATGACGCATATGAGAATCAGCCAATCAGAGTCCTTCATTTCCATCCCCACTCTTTGTTCTATGCATCTTACATAGTGCGTTAAGCATATACAGAACGTATCGAAAAATCCGTAAGGTTGAACTTTTATGCATTATGTAAACTAGTTGAGAGGTTTGTACATTGACGAGGAGAATAGACTATTGCATAAGGAATTGCCTTCTAATCTAAAGAAATTTAGAAAAATGGATCACAACGCTTATTACATGGTGATAATTCTAATTACGAGGACGAAGTTGATACTCAAAATGTGATGGATCAAGATATAACCTTTATGAATGAAGATTGTGTGAATGGAGATGTTGGATGGAGATGCAATTCTCATCTCCTTAGTTCAAAGTCATTATTTATATAATATAACAAGCAATTAAGTAACTTTAAAGATATCCTGAAGAAAGAAAATGCTTGGATAGAGATAACTAAGATTTTAAACATGAAAGGTATATCTATCATAATATATCTTTCTTTAATTTTTGGTAATTTACAAATTAATATTAGTTTAACTTAAGAATTTGACTAATTTGAATAAGTGAAATTTTATTCAAATTAGTGATTTTTTATTGAAAATTAGTAAAAATCATGACTAAATGAAGAACTTCTCACAAATCGTATGGAAAATGGATTCCAGTCCAATTAGTTGAAATATCCTGAGTATATCATGGATTACAATACAATAAAATTTCAACTAATTCGACTGAATCCTATATTTTCTGTAAGATTTGTGTGGGATCCTTTGTATTTACTTATTTATTTTATTAGTTTATTTATTTTTTAAATAAATATTTTCAATGAAAATAATATTCAATGCTAATGGATGAGTGTCATACTAGATGGACAAGATTAAGGGAGCGTTATTCGCGAGAGAAGAAACAAAAACAAGAAGAAACAACAACTGGAAGTGGAGCTTCGAAGCGAAAGGCCTTCGAATTTTCCGACAACATGCAATTCTTGGATCCTTTCGTCAAAAAGAGAAAGTATAGTAGAGAGTGGAAGTAATTCCGTCTGTTTCTAGCGGCAATGCTTATGTTTCTGAATAGTATATATTGCATATTTGAAGATCATGCAAGTTCTTCTAAGAAGCAGTCATACTTGAATAATGTAGTTTTAAGCATGCAAAGAGAAAGATATTGTTTGCTAAAGTAAATTTCCATATACATTAAGGTTGCAATTGCTGGAATAGTTCCATTCTACATTATAATAAAAATTAAATTATAGAGATATTAGAGACAGATCGATAAAGCGTGTTTTTCAGTTAAGATAAAGAAAAGTACATAAAATTGATGAAATAAAAACAAATACTTAATACAATTAATTAATATTGTATTAAAATATATGTATTAATATGTTACATTACTAACATTTGAAAGTAAGAACTAATTTTATTAATTGTTTTTTCTATATGAATTATTTATAATTGGCCAAAAAAACGAAGGAAAAAGTTGTAGATGTTTTTATATGTTTTAGTAAATATGCATTTTAGGTGACACCTTACCGATTTAAATGTTCTTTAGATATATTGTAGAGGAGAGTGTCCTGAGTGATTTCCTGCAAAAATTGAATGGGGGACGGCATTGGTTTAGGAGATATGATAAATTAAAGTTTCATAATAAAATCGCTTTGTGTGGAAGTCGAGCGTCTTTTTGTAAGGAGGAGAGAAGATGAGAGTCACGCCAAGGTTTAGATTAGATATTGTTGCCTAATAACATTTTCATAATTGAGATGCATCCAACAGTTTAAGCACATGGTATATATATATAACTGAAATATATGTTTCAATCATGAAAATATTATAAAATATTATTATTAGTCATCAATATCTAACTTTGATCGTTTTGACATGATTTTATTACTTATTTGATATATTCATCTAGCGATCTTATAACTTATTATAGTATAATATTATAAATTATATAGTATAATATTATGTGGTTTATACTTACTAATGGTACCGATATCGATGACAAGGTTAGAATATAAGGGCCACCAGGGCTGAACAGCGGCCGGCGCAGGTCCAGAATTAAGCTTATATACAAACTTGTGCGTTGCTACACGTTATGCTATGCGTTATGCATTATGCCTTATATGTTACGCAAAAGTCTGTGCTGCGGCCTTTATGCACTATCTATATACATTGCACATATGAACTGTCAGATCGGACATGTCGTGTTTAACAGAAGTGTCGATGTTTTCGAATACATACATACAGGGTCCATTATGAAAGTAATGCGCATGATTTTATTGTGACGCGAATATCCATCGCAGAGGGGTAAAATGGGTCAAGAAATGTGGTGGGGGGATCTGCCCTTCCAAGGCAGCCGGTCGCCAGTTTGTTCCGCGCCG